TTTTTGTTTCGAAAAATTGATGGCGCGTATTAATTTATCGAGCTTTCGAACGCTTTGTGTAAAGTTCTTTGGACTTTCAATCAGGTCGTTTGTTCGCCAGAGAAATTGAGCCCCGATAAAGGAAAACCCGTGATTAATGGTTCGACGGTTTGTTTAAGTCGTTAAGCGAGGAGTGTCGTTAAAAAGGATATGTACGTACAGGAATTTGATGGAATAATAAGAATACTTGTTTAAAAATTTCTTCGAGTTTCTGTTATTTTGTTCAATATCTGTAACTTGGATATTTCTCGAGGCCAATGTGCCGCAGGTGTTATCGTACGTTTTCCGTTAACGATCCTGTCCGGACTATTTTATTATTCGTAAAATATTCCCGGCTGAAAAGAGGATAGTGGAGAAGGGTAACCGATAGCGTCGTGTTAATTAATTTTTATCGCGTATACGTATCGCGCTCGGACCATTGGAATTCTCCATTATACACAAACGCGTGCAGCCCGTGCTCATTTCGCGTTACCTCCGCCGTTCCCTGGTGACGCTGGAATAATAATAAAATTGCCCGCCGTTCGTTGCTTCATCGATCGGCTAAATGTAATTGCGAATAATTGCGAAAGAGCCGAAACCTTTGGCCGCGAACGAACCGTTTGCTCGCAGCCCGTGACTAATTAAACATCGACCCGGAAACGTGAAAATAAAACAACCATCCACGTCGAAGGAAATTGAAACTCTCTCTTTTTTTTTACAAACTCGCACATAATACCTTCGACGTAAATTCAATTAATTAACGAACTACCGATTTTTAAAGAGGTTTTAGCGCGGCCGTCGGAGAAATGGGTCGCTTTTATCGAAAGGACAACCGATAGAGGGCTTGTAATTACCATGATTGAAGGCGCAAACAATCGACGTGGAGGTCGGTTACGTCGGTTACAGATCGATAGCAATTTCGCGAAAAGGCAAAGAGCAACGAGTCGCGCAACGCACCCCTTTGTTCCTAGAAGAATCGCGGGAGGACCCGTAACTTTTTCATTTCGCGTCACCCCCTGATCTCTCGGCTAGTAATACATCGCGCAGCTCGGTTTTTTATTAGCTCCATTGCAAAATAAATTAGGGGTAAAATTATAAAGGAGCTACCCTCTTACTTTGGCTCTTTGGAGCGTTCCACCCCCAACGCCGTCGGTGTTCTTCTCCACAGCGTGTTTCGTGCTACCGGCTATGGAAGGAGGGAAAGAACAGACGACAAGAGACAGGGGAACACTCTGCAAGAATCCAAAACCATCCATCAGGTTAACCTTCGACGAGACTTCGTAAAAAATCGCTTTCACCCTTGCGAACGCGAGGGACCTCAGGGTGAATGCTCTCCCGAAGTAGATAAGTCCCGACTGCGGTGTTCGCCAAAGAGAAAGAGGAATATTTCTTCGCCTGCATCTACCACCCCCAACGGGACACCCGTTATACGTCAATGCCGGCCCCGCTTGCAGGGGAGGGGTTAGAGCGGCACCCTTCGAAAAATCTCATTTCGCCTTCTACACGGGTTAACACCGAAAACACGTGCTGCCGACTTATGAACTTCCATTCTTAATGGTTCATGAAATTGCCTTATATTTCACGTCCGGCAATGCGGACACAGAGCGGAACGAATTTCGGAGGGTTGCACCGGTGCCAGGGCGAGATGGAACGGCGAAGAAACATTTAAATTTCCCGTTCGAACGCGGCTCTGGCCCGTTGGCCAGTTAGGCAAATATTTAACCCCATGGCTCACCCTTTCGCCTTCCACCCTGAGTTCGATAAAAGTCCCTGTCGTTTTTCGTAACTCTTGTATGCATAGCACACCTTTGTGTTCTTTACTTCCTTAAGGTAAAATAAATTGAATAGAATAAATTATTTAATTTCGAAGCGTTAACCGAGATTCGAGCTGGATCGAGCTGATTGGCGCGGTTTGTCGAGGCGGATCGGATTCACGGTATCCGTCGAAAAATGGATTTCAATGGCGCAATAATTTCGACGGGACGTTATCGATTCGCGATCGGCCGGCTGCGTCGAAAGATAATTCAAGGCAAACTAATTTCACGAGTGCGCCATGTATGACGGTAAATCCGAAAGGTCAATAAATAATGGCTAGATCGTATCGTGTCCGCCGGTTTATGAAGTGCCGTTTGTTTACCCGCTAAGCGTGTACGTTCGGACGAGATTCGGGGGTGTACGTTACACGAACGAGGACCACGTTCCACAGCGCAGAATTATATACCGCTCAATTTTTTCCCTCCCTTCGCGTCTTGTACGCGGCTGCAAGGTAGCCCATTTCGAAGATTTACTCCGAAACAACCGCGTTCGATTCATAGATTCGTTCTGGATAACTCGCGATCGAACGATACATCTTCCTTCTCGACGTATTGCAGATTATCCGAGGGCGAAAATTGTTCGAAAAACGAGTCGAACTCGTGGTACGAATGTCACGAGGCGAAATACAGTGCCAGGAGAGTGCGATTTTATTTTTTCATAACGAGGAAATTCAGTGCTGTCGAATTTACCGTTCGCTTTGAGTTAGGGTTACAGTCCCTGGACAATGATTTCGTTTACGAGCAGTCAGAAGATAGACGCGTGGCCGATTTTCGAAGCGTACGCGACGCAGGCAATATCGTGACCGCATTAAAGCGCGGAACGGCAGGAGAGCGGCTTATTAGTAAAAAGCATGACAAACGGCTCGTGGTTTACCCCGGCTTAGCCTGGTGGACCAACCCCAGTAGGGTCGTAACCAGCATGCAACACGGTGCAACCGTGATATATGGCGATTTTTAGTCACGCCTTTATACAGATATAAATCCCTTCCCTCGGTTAACGTGTAGCTCCCCAGATTCCCGTAAGCACGAGGCCGATATCGTTGCACGATACCATCCGCTTCCTGAAGAAAAATTCCTCCCTTTCAACGCGTCAATTAGATAAGAAACACTCTCATTAAAACTACAAGATTTTTATCGTATCTTTGCAAGGTCGAAACAGCAAAACGTTAAAAAAGGACATTTTTTCTACAATATGTATCGTTGAAACTTCGTCTTGAATTCGTGATAAAAATATCCCCCGACAGAAGCATTCGAACTACAGCGATATTCCTAACTGTGCCATCTCTACAGACCGATCGTTCGAATTCGAGTACAAATTCGGCAAAGCTCGTATACCTCTTATCTAACGCGGCACGATCTCGTGTTCGGTTGGCCGCGAGACACCCCCAAAGCTCATTAATCTCCAGGAGCGCGTTGGAACGGGCTAGGAAGTCGGTCAAAACAACGCGTTACCGTGGTCTCGATCGGCAAACCAGGATCTTTGCCCACCGCCACAGCCAACAGGCTAATTCGCTAATCCACGAGGGTTCGTCCTCGATCATCATTATGCGCGATTTGTCGGATAGCCCCGAAAGGAAGGAGGGATCCGGTCAGGCACGAGGCAATGATGATTAATACGATGGCGGGCCGACTACCGAGTTAATCCTCGTTCAAAATTGAACCAGAACGGTTTCCGAAGACATCTACTCGGTGGAATATGGTGAATGGATCGATTACTAGATCGATGATTAATAGATGATATAAGCTATTATTTTTTTGGGAGTAGTTTAAGAATTTGAAACTCTAATAAGGGTGTCAGAGTCGTTGACCAGAAAGCTAAATGCAAGCGACACTAAATGCATCCGTATTCAAATGCAACTTAACACTTCCCTGGGCGCTATTTATTGCAACTGGCCAATCATCCGAGCGTTAATGGATCGCGAGAAGGAACCGTTGTAAATCACGAAATTGGAGATCAGCCCGAAGGTAAAGGGCCCCGTCTGTGGGGGTGGAACCCGGCTCGAATTACCCTCGGTTGAATACTCAGACCCCGGACAAACGAGTCCTCGTAAAATCATCCTCTCTAAATAGCATCGAGAGAAACGAAACCCTTCTCGTGCATCCTTCCGCAGGTGCAAACGTCGATTTTATGGCGTGTTCCATTCGATCGCCGTTAGCGAACCTCCGACGGCCTCGTTATCCTTTAATAACTTATACATATTACTGAACCATAGCCTATGGGAAAATCGGTTGAAAATAATTTGAAGGGAAACGGAGAAAGGAAATTTTAACAAATTTTTGAAACATTTAGATTTAATGAAAACGTAAACGAAAAGATATTCAATGGAAACAAACTCGTTTCCTCGTTCCTTTCACTCTTTCTTCTTCCTTTCTCCCTTTTTACCGTCGAAATTCTCATTTAACTCATCGTTTCGACGCAGAACGTTCTGGTAATTTACGTTAACGTTTTATTTCTTTACGTTTACTACTGAAAAGCTATAGATGTGGGTCAGTTCGTAAACCGCTCCACAGGATACTTAAAAGCAGCTTTCCCAACGATACGGTGTCCTGGATTACGAGTTGCCGGTCACAGTATTTACTTATTAAGCCTCGAGTGTAAAGAAATCACATCTTCGAGGGATTTTCTTAAATTGCTTAAAGTAACGCTTTAATCAACCCCGACCATTCGCGTACTCGTGCTACGACCAGCAGCAAATCGTTTCGTTTCGTTTCGGTTCCTCACTCCCGAAGAAAAGATCAGAAACACTTTGCTTGAAAGCGGAACGAAACTCATTTTCATGATCGTAGTTACGTTTAAGTGTACCATTCTGTTTCAGAAGCAAGCACCTATTGAAAACGAACGAGAATATTGTGTCGTTCGGAAGAATTCCCATGAAGCAAACTAGATAACGTGCTCCTTTTGAACGAGGACGATTTAAGCGTAACAAAAGTAATGGACAAGGAATCCTCAAAGAGGAACCCTTGACCGCGGGTGGTACAATTCAACCGTAACTCGACTTTGAAAACCCGACGACTTCGTTTCTTTCCTTTATTGTTCCGCAATTTTTACGTCTGCGGAAAATCGTATTCCCGAGAAGAACGCGAGGTTATCTTAACCCTTTTCCTGATAACTTACACGTTATTAACAACTCGCAAATATAACGAATAATATGAGTCAAATGCACTCACCGTTGATGAACCAGAATTCCAGCAGGAAGACCTGTAGAAAATGACCATCGCTGCAGGTGGTGAAGCCATGGGTGCTCCTTTATTCGCGACAATCGCACAGCTCGTAATCACCGTTCAGAAGTACAACACCGACTGCTACGGACACGGTAGCCGTGCTCGATTGAAGGTGATTTAGAGACGCGGAACGAAACGAGCAAGGTTACGACGACCGAAACGGTAACTATTTACGTTCCGAGACCCGTAAACGATCGCGCGACTTTCTCGCTGTTGAGAAAGGGAAAGAGGCTGGTTATGCGAAGCTGGAAAGCTTCCGGTTGTTACCAGGACAGTCGTAAATTTCGGGTAAAGCAGTCTTCTGATGTGACTCGCACCACATGGTCACCCGGGTAGCCTGAAAATCATAATTTCTCGTTTTTTATCGTCGCTTAAATAAGAACAATTAGTAGAATTATGATAGGTGGTATTTTAAGGTTGATGAATATTTTTATGGAAATTTTATGTACGTTTTTCAAATGCTGAGAATAAATATGTATTTTTCGACAAACTCTTTGATAAATTGTTTTCATCGGTATATTATGTCGTCGCGATGCCTTGCCAATTTTTCCAGCGAATAAAAAACGATAAAGCTTCGAGGTATGTGTACCCATCCATTTGGTATAAATACTAGCGTAAACAGACACCTCCCTTCGATCCCGTTTCGGTGCTTCGACAAATACGCATGGAATATGTTATCCTATTTTTTTTTTTGTATATGTATATATTTTTTTTATCTCGTTTGCAAACTTTGACAAAGGAAACGCGGAACGATTTCAACTTCCGGTCGAAAAATGCACAGTCCTCGTATATCTGGACGTGAACGCGTGGCATTTTATTTTCGAAAAATAATAATACGGTTCTTCGCTCGATTTCGAATTATCCTGTCGTTTGCTCGATAATGGAGAACAAAAGAGACAGCCACGGGGCAAAAACGAAATTGATTCGTTTATAAGAGCCAACGGGGCTTTGTTTTAATAGAACGCGTCGGCTAATTGCACGCGGATTTTAGGTAACGCGAGCGGCAGGGAAACGCGAACACCGGGAAACACGTCGAGTTTCCCAGCTGCAACGGGAAACTTCGCCAGAAATCGTCTCTGTTTCGTTCAATTAACGTTTATTAGTTTTCTCTTAAGCGGAACGTAAATTCCGTCGGTTATCGTTTGGCTTCGAACACGCTAATCTGGTAGCAGCCACGCGATGCACGCCAACTATTTCGAAATTTCACCAGCTTCCTTTAATCTCCCTCGTTTTATTCATCGTTCCCGTCGAAACAAGGAAACAAATGTTTCGAATTCATTTTTGCCGCTTTAAGAACGCGTTTTCTCATAATATTTAACGTTGCAGAATTAAATTTATCGTACGGAAGTGACTCGACGATGGATCGAATCTTCTTAGGGAAATATTCAATTTCAAAAACAATCCTGATGGCTGAAAAAACACAATGGCTTCGAAGGAAGTTGGAAAATCACTTCCAGCATGTGCTATGTCACATTTTCACCACATGCTTCTTAAAACGAGCACGTGGCAGTCAAAAGAACCTTCGCCGTTTCCTTTCCCGATGATCCCGACCACGTGTTCCAGGACTCGACGAGGAAATTAACGGCTATTAGCGTTTCCTGGCGATGCCTTCAACACCGTCTTGAATTACGGGCCCGATGATGCGTCGATAAATCAAGAAGGACCGTCTTGTGAAAAGCTAGCCGTTTCGTTGCTCGTTTAAAATAAAAAACAGAATCAGAGGAGGAGAGAGAAAATTCCTGGCATTATCGCGCGGAATGGAACGATCAGCTCGAAGAGTTAATTCGTTATTTCGCAGCTGGAATCGGCGTGGCATTTAAAATGGCCAACTCGCTTGCTCGTTGTACAAACACGAGGGCCGTTCGTTTGTTTGGCAACCGGCAAAACTATGCGACGATCCTTTATCGGATAGGATTGATATACGCGGCGCGTGTTTCGCAGAAACAGGATAACCGATTCAATGGGGCCATATTTTATTAATGTCCCCCGGGGCAGGAAAATACGTAATACATGCGTTTGCGAGCTCGTCGCGAGCGGCGATTACAAAAGGTTACAGGGGCTAATTCGTGGGCCAGACGGGTGAATCGTATGCACGCGAATTCGCGACCAAACAGGACGATAATAAAGCGAAATTTTCAATTCGAACTTTTCCCCACCCTACACGTTTGATCCGACCTTTCATCGATGCTCGATTGCCGTCGTATTATCTTACACGGACATTGCAATAAAAACCGCGAATATTCTTATTCCCAACCCTCACAGCAATTTTATGCAAATAAAAGTTCGGCAATCGACTTTGTTAGCTCGAGGAGGCATATCGCGTGTTTGCCAGAAACGATGGCTACAAGTTTTATAACGAACGCTCGCCGGAACTTTATCCGGGATGATTAAACGAACGAAACCACCGGCTGTCGACGAGGAAGCGACGAGAGCCTTGGCTTCTCCCGTTTATCCAGCCCGTTTCCTGAGGGATGATCGAGCTTTACGACAACCACATGTTACCTCGAGGAAACCGTCCCGCGAAGCGTGGCTCTCGTTTCCAGCAAGACTGAAGGTTGTTGCCACCTGTCCCGAAATCCCTAAGGAACGAGCCCCGGGAAGCGTACATATTTCTAAACGCGCCACGTGGCAGGTGCACGCGCGATTTTCTTCGTCCTCTGTTTATTTGCTCGATCCTTTACTCGGAAAATCGAACAACTTGCTCCTGGGAACTTCTGCTTCCTACAACTACCGAAATTCTTACTCGATTCGACTGCAACCGAGTGAAAACGTTGCCGGGAACCGGTGGTTGGAGTCGAATTTACGAGTAGCCGAGGAAAGTAACAAGATTCCTTGGCAACGTTTCGAATTTCCATCGCGAGCGAAACGCTCGCCGACTCAGCCGGTTAACGAGATCTCGAACTTCGTGATTACTAACGTGAAAATGAAGTTGGATCGATGACGGAGCTAACAGAATCTCGAATTCAACCGCTTTCAGTTACTGCGAGCATCGATCGAAGTCAGATTTTAGAATGGTGCGAACCTGGAACGCCTTAGCGCGATTAAGATCGAGTTTCGACAAAGCAATCTGCTTGTAAGGCTCACGTTCGTTTTCGCTGCCTTGAGTATTTATTGTTAGACGGAGTTTGCCAACAGGCTGAACAGATTCACGCATTAACACATACGTTTCCTAGTATGTTACTAAACTACGAATACGAATGAAATACATATAAAATTCTTCTTCGAACGCCATAAACAGCCGCTACGAGGATCACCAACGACGTAACGCACGTGTTCCTTTGACCCTTGCGGTTCGCCATTCTCTGGTCGGATATTTTATAAGGACACCCGTCGATAAATTCACGCGGAGCCAGGCTGGACCGCTTGCCACGCCCCGCTTTCGATAAATTATCCCGAGGGATGACAGAGACATTATAATCCGGGGGTGTAATAAAAAGACTGGAGTCTCGGCTGCTCTGCCCGATGCGCCGGCGTTACTTAGCAATAATTCGCGTCCGGAAGGTCCACGGAGGCGAGCAGAAGGGACCGAAAGCGGGTCAACGAGAACAGAGGAGGTAGATCGGAAAATGAGATCGCGTGAACGAGACGAGACGAGGCGAGAAGTAAAAGCGGGGGAAAAATAGAGAAGAGAACAGAGAGGGATGAAGAAAGAACTGGTTGCCGATGCCTAGGATTTCTGGAAGGGCGAACGATGTCCGCAGATGCCGAAGAGAAGAATTTCTACAAAGCTGCGGACTGCTGACAATGGAGGCCTGTCACGGATCACGGCAACACCGATATTCATCGGATGATTTATCGGATCGTATTTGTTGGTAATACCGGAAAACACAATCGGTCCGGACCTTGCTCGATGATCTCCGCGGATAAAGAAACCAGGGTAGGAACGTTCGTCGTGAATTATATCGAGCCATTGACGCGTCGTCGAAAACTGACCGCGATCTTTCCGTTGATCGTACATTGAACGTCTCCAGAGGATTGAGTCTGTTTAGAAACCGTTTGATTTTAAGTATTTGTAAATAGTTCAGAATCGAAATTACACAAATGTCAAGAGTCGGAAAGATGAATTAACCAGACGAGGTGGCAAAGTTTCTAAAGAAGATCCAGTGGAACAGCCAGTCAACAATCGACTCGGTAATAATTTAAAGCGGAACGAAGTTGAAGTCTCGGGAACTTTATCGCCCGACGGAAAACTCTGATTGACTGTTAATCGCGTTTCGTCGCGATAGTCTCGCTCGCGGAAAGGCGCCGCGCGCCTGAAGGGAACGGCCCTCTCGAACCGAGTCGATTATTAATCCGAGGCGTTGTTAAGACAACGAGGTAACCTCGTTTCCAGTATCGCGCTGATAAGATCGCGGCTCGGCTGATTGACTCGCGTAATGCATTCTCGATGAGCCGGAGAAGTCGAGTCTTTCGGCAGCCGCGTCGCCCCGGGCTCGGCTGTTCGAAGCTGATTAAAGCGGTATACGTTGAAGGCTAATTTCTTCTCCGAGCCAATCGCGAACGAGCGAATTAAATTTTTGTAAAATAAAATTGTATTGGAGTTGCCTGGTCACTAGCGTTAATGATTCGCCCCTCAGGCTACAGCGAAAGTGTTAAACTTATACAATATAACTTATCGAGAATTCGGAACCGAAGGTGTCAGGATAATACTATATCGTTTGTCGTACGCGTTCCTAAGAATCCTTAATGAGGTTGTGGCACGTCTGCCGCCTGCAGTCTCGGGTATCTAGCGCGATGGATCGACGAGAGAAGTGGCGAAAGTATGCAGACTATGCGAACAGAGAGATTCTCTGTCAGCGACGATACACCCCTCGAACTCTTGTCTTCGAAGGGGGCGTTTCGATAAAACCCTCTAGTTAAATTCTCGCTAGCGTAAGATACGAGCTTTTTTTTCCTTCGTTCGCTTCGAGACCCACATTTTTGCGCGCATTTCCCTCACCTTTTCAGAGTGGCTACCACTCAAGCTTCGTAGCTAGTCGCTTGGAGTAAAGGGTCGATGCTCGACGAGAATGGGCCATTCGAGAGAGAATCCAACGTTTCAACGGGAGAACCGACTGGAAAGGGAGCAAATTCGAGCGCTTAAATGCAACCACGAAAACCAACGACGAAGTCGGTCACCGAACGACGCGAATGGCTTCGCCTCGTCGCGCCGACCCGTTTGTTCCTATACATTGCTAAACAATGCTGGTGACCCGTGTTCCCGACGGTATCTAGCGTTGCTTAATGACAATAGCGATGGAAAGACAATCGATATCTAGCCTTCTTGATGACGTTTCCGTCAGTTCTGACACCTATGGTACGATGAACGCAATTGTGATGCCTGTGTGTTTCACACAA